CTGCGCGCCCCCCTTGCCGAACTGGGGAGGCCCCGTCGGAGTCCGTGTTCCCTCGAAGCTGAGTTGGTGTGAGCGAGGTCCCCGTTCTTTAGCCTCTTTTTTTGTCTTGGCTCAGGAAGGATGGGGCTCCAGAGGAAACAAATTCAGAATTCATGCAGCTTCTCGCAGCTTTCATGCCAGGAGCTTACAGAGTAGGATTTTTGCTCACAGGACGCCACAGCTTAGAGGGAGCATTGGTCGGAGTCCATCCGGTTAGATGACTATTTGCTTAATGCATTTAAAACAGGGAAGACACTTTGCACTTCAGCCATTCCAAAGCTGTATTCTGCCAAAACCAGGAAGGGCAGAAAGTCTTATACCCCAAATGACATCAGGTATAGTTTACACATTATGGGCCCCGTCACAGGGAGCGGGCTAAAGGTACGGATGATAGGCGGATTTTCCAGGCACGATCACACCGCAACATCTGGGAAGCGTAGTGCTCCTATGGCTATCCCGTGGCTTCCCGCCGAAGATGCGGAGTAAAAAACTAGTACTTACGAGGTACTGGTTTCCGGACACCGCGGGGCAAGGGCAGGCGTCTGATCGCATTTCCGGTGGAATCCTGTGGCATCCAGCGCCCGCCAATGTTCCGTCGCAAACAAGGTTTTCCACCACCACCCCCAAGTCTCCGCAGGATGCGCAAAAGCGCCCAACGGCACATGCACACAAACTTCGGTTAAAAAAACACCCGTTTGCCATGGAAGCGGCGCCTAGCGATTGCTGGTGTGATCGCGCCGCACCGCTTCTTTGCTGCACTGCAGGATAGCCGTGTGATCGGCACCTCACCCACTAACCACGGGATCTCGACGGGACGTGTGATCGGGCAGCCGCGCGTTATTTTGCTCCGGGGCAAACAGCCCCCACACACACACACACACATTTTCCAGCCCGTGTGACCGGGACCAAAGGATCTCTAATTGGAGCTGTGGTGGCTCAAGTGGTTAAGACGCTGAACTGCAGGCTGTGGAAGGTCAGTAGTTCAGCAGTTCGAGACCCGAGTTGCCGCATGACGGAGTGAGCTCCCGTCTATAGTTCCAGCTCCTGCCAACCTAGCAGTTCGAAAGCAAGAAATTGCAAGTAAATAAATAGGTACCACTTTGGTGGGAAGGAAACAGCGTTCCGTGCACCTTGGTGTTTAGTCATGCTGGCCACATGACCATGGAAATGTCTTCAGACAGCGCTGGCTCTTCGGCTTTGAAATGGAGATGAGCACCGCAACCCTAGAGTCGGATTCGACTGGCTTTCGAGCAAGGGAACCTTTACCTTTACTAGGTAACATCATAGAAGCATCACTTGATTCAATGCGTCTCTTTTTGGTGTCAGTAATTACGCTTTCTTGTCTGGTCTTCCAGACCAATGCAAAACACTGAAGAACACCGGGACCCTTTTTGGCCTTGCTGAAGTCAGCCTCACGCCTCGCTTCTGGAGAGCTAGCTGATAAGGGCTGTGACTCACATTACGCTTAGCTCTTGGCGGGTTTCCCGGTACGAGATGTTTTGAGAACACTTCCAGAGTTAACCGTTCTTCTTTCATCTGGGATAAATACCAAATTCTGAATTTACTATGGTTAAACTCTTGTGAGGGTGCAGTGACAGCTGTTGGCATATAAACATGTCAGAGGAAATGTCAGAACTCACCTTCGGAAATCACATTCGTTTCCCCCTTGTCCTACAGTTGCCGGCTCTGGGTCCGAAAACGCCGGGAGGTTTGGCGGTGGGACCTGGAGAGGGCAGGGCTTTGCCGGAGAGTTCATCTTCCAGAGGAGCCATTGGCTCCAGTGTTCCCTCTAAGCTGAGTTAGTGTGAGCTAGCACACAGTTTCTTAGCCTCCGGCTCACACATTTTTGCCTTCGCTCAGGAAGGATGGGGCTCCCGAGGAAACGAAGTTATGCAGTAGCCAAATCGCTCCCTCACAACTTTAATGCCGGTAGCTCACCAAGTAGAATTTTTGCTCACAAGACTCCAGAGCTTAGAGGGAGTATTGATTGTCTCCAGGGGAAACTCATCTCTGTCGTTTGGGGGTCCGCTGGGATCCCGGGAGATCTCCCGCCTCCACCTGGAGGTTGGCAACCCTCACAAAGTACCCCCTCCTCTTCAAGGCCGGCCCCTCTGCATCTTTAGGGCCCGCTCCTAGTAGGCTGGAGAATATGACTTTGCAAATATACCCAGAGACAGGGTGGGGGGGTAGGAGGAGGAGGAGAAGGGTTTGGCTCACTTGGGAAACGGTGGAGGGAGGGACTGGTGCCCGGAGAGCTCCTAGGGGCCTCCT